TACGCAAATCGTCGAACTGCATCACGAGGCAAGCCCTAACTTGGAATCCTGAAGGGAAGCAAAAAAGAGGAAGGCCAAAGAACACATTGCGTTGGATAATAGAAACAGATATGAAAACGATGAATTACAACTGGACGGAGCTAGAAAGGATTGCCCAGGACAGGATTGGATGGAGAATGCTGGTGAGCGGCCTATGCTTCTTCACGAGGAGTAACAGGCGTAAGTAAGTAAGTTCATACAGTGTTTTAAGCTTTTACATGGATCAATGTATGATGGACAAGGATGTGTTTCAATAAACAAAGTAACAATAATGGGACTTAACAGATCGAAATGAGAACTAAATATGCAAAATATGACAAACCATTAAGAATTTCAAGGGGATACAATTAAAATAATAAATAGAGTCGAGTACATATCAGAGATTCATTGGATATATCACAAATGATAAACGAAGGGATGTTCTCAGCCATAAGTTCGAAAATGATTGATAATGATAAGAAGTTACAAAATTCTATATGTATTATAATACAATACACAAATCATCAGACAAGGAGAAGATAAAAGTATAAAACTTAAATAAGAATCAACATCCAATCTACCATTTGATCATGAAAATAATTCATACATTTAAGGTTAAATGTCAACCGAATAAGTTGTCATTCATTCATTATAGAATGATTCAATTCAATCAGATAACACAATATCAATGAAATCTCTCTTTTTGTGAATTACTATATTCAATTTGCAAACTTGAAATGTTTTGTCACAGTTAGTAACTACTTTATACCTTCATAGATTATTCTAGTTTTTTTTGCCAGATCAATTAATCTATTCTTTTTATGCCATAATCCACACACATATATAGATGACCTTGGTATTTTTTTTATAATATTGGTTGCTTTTCGTTAGGTTTGAAGCTATCACGAGTTCACTTAATATGCGACCGAGAAGCAAGACTCGGTGACCAAACACCAGTAAGCTAGCTATTGGCGCGTCCCAGCCCCACTGACTAGAGAGAAGTCCAAACTTGGAATGGGAAGTATATTCTGCAAAACAGCTAGAAACGAGCGGTAACAACAACCACGATTCAAACGTATATATACAGTGTAACCCCGTCCTTGGGGAGAATTACCAAATAGCATACTGAAAGACACAAAGGACCAATAGAATTTAAGGTATTTCCCAGTGGGAAATACGACATGAAGGTTGGCGCGAAAATAAAGAAATTCAGATTTTCTAAATAAAATTACAAAATTAGGTCGCTTCCCAAGTGAGTTCTGGGGATCGAACGTCCCCAACACTTTTATATAAACGTATAAGCGGATATGTGCTTATTGCTTCGTCACATAACTTTAGCTTGTTTTTCCATCTGATCATAAGTAATAAATCAGGCTTTATTTAAATGACTTGAAACATTTACCTTTTCTGTTCTACTTCATTCCTCTTATCATCTGTCATCCATGAATTTGACTTGTTTTATATGGTTATTCAGTAATGAAAATTAAGTTAATGCATAAGTATGAGGCTAAACAGGATACATATTTCGTTAACATCGTAATTCCATCATAGTGTAATCAGATAACGGGCTTATAGTTTCTCCTGTAATGTGGTTTTTTTTCAATATTTAGTTTGGTGTTTTCCAGTTGTACCAGAAAAATGTCAACGATTATAGAACTTGGTGGACTGCTTATTGTAACATCTGTTTATTGAAAATGCTTTATGTTTAGTTAAAATTACACCTGTTATATCAATAGTCTTCTAGTGAGACTTAAGTAAATAAGGTCTTCACACCAAATGTAATCGCATACTTTCCTCTTAAATTAATGCTAACAATTCAAAGACAAAACTGTCTTTCAGACTGTATACAGACATTCATTTTCTTATGGATCCAATTAACTGGGCAAGCCATCGAGCAAGCTTTATGGTACTTTGTATTACTCATGGCTAGGACTGGTTGTAGAGGCATAGCATTTTTAAGAGTTCTGGGTAGACCATACAACCTCGGTACACAAGAATCTCATGGTTTTAAATAACCACAGGTCGATTCATCTGCTATTTCTACTTCGGGAGCTGATTTAAAAGCTGACTATTCTCCATTCAGTTTGCTGTCATTTGGTAATTGTCGAATTTTTGAGAGGTATTCATTTTTATACAAAACAACAAAACTGGAACCTTGTTCATATTTTAAGAAGACCATTCCGTCATTTTTCTTCAGATCATTATTAATGGCTTCTCTTTGTTCTTTCGGTAAAGTACACAAAGAAGCTTCTAGTGTGATTGTTTATTGGTTCGTTAAGTTCACGACCCTAACTCTGAGTTAGATTCTTTTACTATTCAATATGGACTTGGATCACATAACTATTTATTCGAATTTTGATTTATACTAACATAATTCTGAAAAAACAAAATTTTTATGGCTTATTAAGTTCATTTTCCAGTCTTTTTCTACATATGAACAAATGCAACTACCTTAATTTCTTGATATTCACCAAGCAAAAATAGAATGCCATACAAGAATTTTTAGGTTACTATTTAAAGTGGAAATTAATTACATGAAAAATATGGATAAGAAATGATACAATGAATTTTCAGTTGTTTTTTTGGAATTTGGCATGACAAACAGTGTAGGAGCTAATCTAGGAATTTTGTCAATGTAGATATACTACTTTATAGTAGTATGGTTATTCAACATTAGTTTAGGTGACAGTTCAGATGTGGTTCATTTGCAAACAAATCAGTTTTCTTAGGTCGAATAAATAATTAAGATTAATGGTATACAGAACTGGGCTTTTTAGACGTCAGTTAGTTGTATTTCTCTCAGATATGGATATCTATGTAATTAATATATACGTTCTTATCCCCAGAACACATATATAACCAACATTATGAGTTTCATTAATTACCATTTCTTCACTTTTCTGTAATTTAGGGGATGATTGTATAAAAAATATAATCTCTTATTCGGGATGCGTTGCAGGCTGATAATATAGTGTCAAACCTGGACAGACTGGTTTATTCTTCTTGAGCCACATTATCTGCTTGTAACCTTGACTGTTTTTATGAGTATGTGCCCATCGCTTACTCTATTCATCACGTCTTGAGTTTATTTTTGTTTGGCTATAAATATTGAGACACGTTTAATCAAATAGACTTGGTATTCTTCCCCTCTCTGCTTCTTATTTCTAATGTCTGTCTGAAATAAATTCATCCAACTTAACCCATATTTGGCTTCCTATTACCACTGTCGAGCAAAATGGTTAGACTAGGTGTAATGTAAGGAGTTAGGTAGAAGATTTATGATGATAGCATATTTATGCGTTTGTGGTGGTCGGTATCCGATATAATCCTTAACTTCGTATACAGTTCGTCGCGATAACCGTTCTATATAACGTACCAACGGTATATTAATCGGAAGGCAAATGCGAAGTGTTGATTACGTTTATTGCGAGACCACATACATATATCCAAATGCACAGATGTGTTAAACAAGCATAGAAGAGTTGTGCCGAAAGGCAAGCAAGCGAGCGAGAGCCAGAGCAAGAGCGTGACGAGACCGTGTGAGCGAGTGAGTGATTCAGAGTTCAATATGAATAACATGGACATATATATACCATGTGAAATGAATGAGTAATCGAATCGAATAAGCGGTTAGTAGTAAGACTAGCAGAGTGAATAAATGCGTAGGCAGTAATCAATATTCAAGCATACGTATTTCATACAAGCTCAAAATAATAATAAGGATACAATAAATTGTTACAGTGCGGATGGCTTTGTCCGCTAAATAAGTTAGCAAAAAGGGCTTAACTGAGTTAAATGAGAGTAAACCCATTTGCACGTGAGTCGCTATACGTTCATCCAAATCGGTGTCAGATCAGTGGGCCACAAAGATAACTCATTTCTATAAACTAGTGTTTAAGATAAAAAAATAGGTGTGTAGTAGTAAAAGCTTCTTCTATACGAACTCAATGCTGGGGGAGTAGAAGGAACCTATGTCAGTGAACCAGTTGAAAGCCAAGACTACCCTGTAAGCTATCAGTGTCGATCATGCTAACCTAGGTGTTTTAGTGGTTCAGTCAAGTAATTATTCAGTAAAGGGACTTGAGAAGAATAAATCAGGACCTCGTCTGGTGCATCTTCCCCTAAGCTATGGATTAAGGAAATGTAAGCTGGCGAGTGCTCTAACAAAATGGAATGATTACTCAGCGGTTGACCTCTACTCATAAGGAGATAGGTCTAAACATCGGTTTTAATGACCAGATAGTATGGCGGATACGATATGTATGAGTCGGATAATGTACTGAACAAATTACACTAAATCAACTACATTGGGAAGGGTACTTTAGCTGAAACATTAATTCTTTAGAATAGATGAATTGTGACTACCAATGGAGTCCGAGATACACACATCATCCTATGTGGAACTCGTCAACTGGATATATCGGGATGAGTGTTGATGTTCACATTGAAATTCGAAACAAGTACCTTTCGCTTCACAGGTTTTTTACTGTTTCTGGGTCCAGACAGATTTTAATCACTTTTGAGATACACACAGATTGCTCCAGTATAGCCAAGTTTCCCGAATAGATGGACTGATTAGTGCCATGATTTTTCATTCAAAGCTACCGTATTATAATTTAAGAAAGTTTGCAGATGAGTCAGTTAGTTGCAATTTCCTCACTGTTTACAAACAATAATTCATTATTTGGCGCAAACGAAACTGTTAGCAGTAATCATTGAATGCAATAGGCAAATAATTAAATGGACGGAAATTTCAAAGAATATTCTGAGGCTTTTAACAAGTAAATTTTTCTTATAGGATCAATGTTATAGATTCATCAAGGCTAAGAGAGAAAGTGTCGCTGTTATCGTAAATCATACCAGAATGATTGGACGTTGAAGATGATTGTTGAATCACTAAACTATCGACTAACACATAATGTAATAGAAACATAATAATCAAGTTATATCTCTACTAATTTTACTGAAAGAACACAGGCAATACATTACTAATCATTTTTTATATTTCCACAGAATAACGTCATGCTATCTATGCCTTACGGAACAAGAAAGAACAAATCATATAGACTGTTAAGTAAGATAACAAGGAAACTGTAGATTAATACAATACAAAACATGACAACGAAGTCAAAAACATACATTGAAACGAAATCAAAATACACTAGGCTATCCTAGTGTATATATTCTCAATTAGAAAACAGAACAACTAGAGAGGAGAAGAAATTAAAAGACTATGTGATTAAGTAAATGATAGAAACATTGCAACTGTTATATACAAAATATCGAGGCAGAGTAAAAAACAAAAAGTCAACTAGATCTTCTTTCATGAAAATTAATTACAAAATGTGAACGATTTGCGTCCACACAACGTTTAAATCAAAGTAATTATCGTGATATTTGTTGTTGTTGTACTGAGTTCAGTTGTTCTGGTCGTAAAGGAATCATGGAACCCAGATCGAATAGACCATATGGTGGTAGGAGATTTAAATCACCAGTTAATTTCCGGACAATATTTCGACCAAGTCCAACATCAATTAACAAGTGAGTTAATGAAGTGGTTGTGTTGGTTGATGTACCACTACTATTCAATGTGGCTTCAGTTGGAGGGATAGACACTGTAGGCGTTGTTGTTGAAGATGATGACGTTAAATGACCTTGTGGTGTCAGTATTGGTAAGCCCAATTCAGTCACCCAAACAAAGTGTTGGGCATTTCTTAACAGAATATTAGAATCAACAATGGACTGGGAAGGTGTTAAATGAATAATGCCACCAATGGAATTGTGATTGCGCAACCAATTAAACAATAAATTTGTATTTGATGATAATGATGAGTTGTCTTTATTTACAGTATTACTGTCATCTGAATGACCAATTATCACTAGGTCAATGCGTATACTACTTGGCAGTTTGGTAACAGCTGTAGAAGATTAAAAAAGAGGGAACAAGTACTAAAGTGAAGAGATCAATTAACCTCTGGAGATAACAAAAATCAACATTAATATAAAATCAAATAGAATGCATTAAAGTGTTGTTCAAGTTAAAGTCGATGAATAGAATGCTAGTGGATAGATGAATGCAATGATATGATGTGTGAACGTGTGATACCTACTTATGGGACCGTATTATCGACTGAGGCCCTCTGAATGATTAGAAATTAAAGACAACTAGCCAGATGAATTGTTTTCCATGCAGTAACATGCTTATATATACAGAATAAACACACGAAATTAACATGTCATAGGCGATTGGAGGGAACTAGTTTATAGGTCATCCGTTCTCTAACCAATTAAGACTTGAATGTTCGGCCTAATCTTTGGATATCGTATTAAGTAAATAGACTGAATGAGGAAAAGAATGAAGTGATAGTTGCAAATCGGTAGCTAGGAAGGCAATATGGAATACTAAAATATTGGTGTATATATTTGACATAATTGTTAGCAAGGAAATATCAACTGTAAGACTGTTAGTCTTTATACATACAGTTTATTGGTGAATTCAAAAATCTCCATAGACTGAGATGGTTAGGACATGAATTAAGACATATAATTGAAACCACCGCCAATTACAACATTTGATATCAGATGATATAGCAGCAGGCTGGGAAAAAAACTAACAGTAGCGAGATCAAGATATGGCATTAATCCATGAAGGTACTAACTGATTATTGGTCTGAGACATTTTAAAATATGTTGACATCATAGTTCAGGTCCATGAAATGCTTGTAATCAATGGTTGGGATGTTGAGTACACAAACCTTTACTTAATAAATGAGTTAGATTATTTTTATTATCAGAGGTGAATCTACAGTTGGCACAAAACAAGCATTAATCGCTAGTTAATCATTACCACTTATCACTGAAATGAAGGTGAAGCATATAAACCGAACATACAAATATTATTTTATTTTATCATAAGACTTGCTATTAGCAGTATTTAATAGTGGTTGACTTTTACAAAGTAAATGTTTGTGAGATACAAACATGTTGGGTAGCTGTTCTATTATCTAGAAACATGTAGAACTGAATAAGTAAATCTTAGACATTGATTACCTATAAAACTCAGTCAGTCAGCTACAACGTAGAACCAGGCACATATATGCATCGGTCCAAGTTGCCATACCTCATTAACACAACAAGATGGAAACCGGATTCATAAAAGTAGCTAATTGAGAGGTGGTAATATATAAAAGAAAGATTGCATAAAAGGACATAGTACAGGAAGAAAGAATTAGTTTGTAGAAAGAAAGATAGGAAGCAATTTTGATCTCTTAGTTTAAGGAAAGACAGAGAGTGTATACACCGGCGCCATTGTGATCGGTTCTCAGTCATGTCACCAAGAGTCTCTAACCATTGGTTACGATAGTCACGCGTACCCCAACCAAGTAGTCTGCATCTACCAACATGGTTCAGACTAGAGGTTAGTGTCTTCAAGCACTGATGCCACGTTTTGGTTCGGCCGCCCCTAACTTTCTTCCAACCATCCCCAACACCCGTTAGCATTGCACGACGTGGTAATCGGTGTTCGGGCATACGTAACACGTGGCCCAACCATCTCAATCGATGAAGATTAACAACCTCATCAACTGATTTACCATCATTACCTAATACCCTGCGTCTAACCTCACTATTACTTACCCGGTGATCCCAACAGACGCCAGCAATATTTCTAAGGGAAATACAAACCTACACACTTCATAAATATAACAAATGGAGTAATAACACTGTGACAACAATCATAAAGAACACAGTCATCTGTGACATTTATTAATGACTTATACAACTAACACCTTGTTTTCTTTTTACTTGAAACTTAACAAGCAAATAGAATTTAATACATGATTTTAAAGAAAACAAAAAAGAAATGAAACTATGGAGGAGTAAGTTATAGTAATTAATTAAAACTCTAAAACTATGTATAAATTTAAAAGTTCTACTTATTAGTATGGATTAAAAGAAACAGATAAGTCAAATGCAAACAACCAATTAGGTTTGTAAATGAATTAACAATCTGTTTAACGTTAGAAAGAAACATACTTTAGAAAAAACTATTTTCTACATTTTTCTAGATAATTTCTTCTAATTATGTTGTTATAGGAGGGAAGAGTCTTGATATTAAAATATTATTATGCTAATTTGTATGGTTTGTAATGACGGATCATCAACAAGAAATAAAGTGTATCATATCACGAAGAAGCACTTTCCAGATGTAGCTTATTGAAAACTCAGAAAATGACAACAATCTCAAGCTACCAACTTAGACATAGAATACTGTTCAGATAAATAACATCATTAAGTAATTTGAACTGTTAATTATAAAACAATAATTCAACTAGTCAGTCATAGGCAACATAGAATCGGACATCTGTGCATCAGTTCAAGTTCTCACACCACATTAACACAGTGAGACAAAATTATTTCAAAACAAATCCCACAGTAGTAGAAATAGTAGTAACAGTGCCAGTGGTGCTACAAAAGACTAGGTAAAGGAAAAAAAACAGTATAACGGGATCTCAAGATTAAGGTTCTAGGACGAGACAAAGAGACAATACACAGGCATCATTGTGAACAATTCTGACCCATCCCACCTCAATTCACTAACCACATAAATCGAATGATTTATGTGGCACATATCTGTTTGGTACCTCCTTGTACCAATGTTTATGTGTTTAAGTAATAAATAAATAATATCTAACGATTGGTTACGATGATTACGCGGACAATAACCAGGTGGTTTACACGAATTAATATGGTTCAGTCTAGTTGTCAATGACTTCATGGACTGGCTCTAGGTATGGGTTTGAGTGGTCCTAGCTTTCCCCTAACCTAGCCTGAGAAATGGCTATCACATCCAAGGACGGCAGCAGGGGCGAAAATTACCCACTCCCGGCACGGGGATGTAGTGAGGAAAAATACGGATAAGGGACTCAATTGAGGCTCCGTAATTTGAATGAGTACAATTTAAATCCTTTAACAAGGACCAACTGGAGGGCAAGTCTGGTGCCAGCAGTTGCGGTAACTCCAGCTCCAAAAGCGTATATTAAAGTTGCTGCAGTTAAAAAGCTTGTAGTTGGATCTGGGTCGTGCGGTCGCATGCCGCTGCTTGTTCACAGTTTTGGTTACAATCAGGACGTGTTCAGCTCGGTGTAGTGGCTGTGCAGCCTTCCAGCCGTGTCTGTGTTAAACCGGTGCTGGTGGGTTGACGAGTTCGTCTTGTTGACCTGTTGGCATGCTTCCGGATGCCTTTAAACGGGTGTCGGGAGCGGATGGCATCTTTACTTTGAACAAATTTGAGTGCTCAAAGCAGGCTTGTGCGCCTGAAAATTATTGCATGGAATAATGAAATAGGACTTCGGTTCTATTTTGTTGGTTTTCGGATCCGTAGTAATGGTTAAGAGGGACAGACGGGGGCCTTTGTACGGCGGTGTTAGAGGTGAAATTCTGGGATCGTCGCCAGACAAACTACAGCGAAAGCATTTGCTAAGAATGTCTTCATTGATCAGGAGCGAAAGTCAGAGTTTCGAAGACGATCAGATACCGTCGTAGTTCTGACCATAAACGATGTCAACTGACGATCCGCGTTGGTTTTATAATTGACATCGCGGGCAGTCCCCGAGAAACCTTCAAGTCTTTGGGCTCCGGGGGGAGTATGGTTGCAAAGCTGAGACTTAAAGGAAATGACGGAAGGGCACCACTAGGAATAGAACCTGCAGTTTAATTCGACTCAACACGGGAAAACTCACCCGGCCCGGACACTGTGAGGATTGACGGATTGATATCTCTTTCTTGATTCGGTGGGCGATGGTGCATGGCAGTTCTTAGTTGGTGGAGCGATTTGTCTGGTTAATTCCGATAACGAACGAGACTTTAACCTGCTAAATAGTAGACTGGTCCTCTGTACTCGTTTAGGGTACGACTTCTATTGCTTCTTTATGGAGTAGTGTGGTCGTGATCCGGCGGGTGAGGATCGGGGCTTGCAATTATTCCCCGTGAACGAGGAATTCCTAGTAAGTGCAAGTCATAAGCTTGCGCTAATTACGTCGTTGCCCTTTGTACACACCGCCCATCGCTACTATCGATTGAATGGTTTAGTGAGGTCGTTGTAGTGGCTTTGCAGCTCGACTGATGCTGAGATGACCAGAATACTCTAGAATCCCATGTAAAAACTATAAATATACTAACGTTTTCCCTATTGTGCTTCTTACTTCCATCTAACCTTTTTATTTGGAATATAATCTCTTTCCTGTTTAACCGTGTTCTGATTTGGGGACTTGTCGAGTGAATTGGTGTCCGAGAATACTAAGCAATAGGAATAGCTGGGTCATAACCGTAAGAAAGAGATTATAACACACCAGAAGACACTGTCCGTCGAGATAGCCAGTGGTCGGGCATGTATAACACACTTTTCGTGGTTTTATTCTCTGAGCTCAGCAAAACTCCAAAATCATTCACCTGAGCTACAAATCTTCACCATCTCATTTATAACACATGTCCAAACTAACTTATTTGATGAAAAGTCATTGCCTCATCAATTTTTTTGTTGCGTTTACCTAGTAGCGTATGTTTAACTTTGGCATTGCTGACTTCGAAGATACCTATGGATGAATACCAGTAATCCAAAAATACCCTTTATTCTTAACGGTCATTTTTCATACTAATTTAGTAGAACAGAATAGACGGATATCTCGCTCATATCACAAGTGGTGCAGGTTATCAAAGACTAACCGAGCTTTCTAAATGTGCTGAAACCAGCTCATTAGAACTGATGAGGCTCTCAAGATCAGTGAAGCGGTTAATGTGTTCAACTACTTCACTTCCTATCATTAATTCAGGCGCTAACGAACTGCCGCGTATTATACACGGCCCTTAGTTGGTGGGCGGATAAATCGTTTACACCAAAAGCGACACACACTGAGGAAGGTCAAGTGAGTTTTTCGAAATTATTGCCGATATTTCGTCAAACACTAACCTAAAAAGATTGACGAAAATTCCAGAATAAACGAAGTGATTGACACACTCAACTAATTCACTTACTATCATCAATATTAGGAATCTAAGGAATGGTTAGCTGCAAAGAATGATATAACTGAGAAATGATGTTATTTATTCCTGTCTGTTTAGTTGACATCATTACCACGATTATAAGTGAGTTTGCAATGGTCAGTATTTATCTAAATTACAAAAACAACAACAGCCCAGAAAATTGTTAATAGATTGAAAAAAATGTGTACAAGTATACTACTTACAATTTGGACGACGTATAATTTTCAGTCCAGGCATACGACTCATCCATATACGTCCAACTGAACTATGATCGACAATACTACTGATATCGGAATAATTGAGACAACTCATATTATCAAAGTCAACATCATTATGTTCACGAATATTCGCAGAAGATGAACCAATACTGATACTATTATCATCAATTGTATGACTCCCATTATCATTATTATTAAATGTATAGAGTCCAGGTATTTGTTTATTGTTCTTAAGATCATCATGATTATTTTCGTTATCTGTTCCCCGCCCATCATCACTGTATTGGTCTAATTCATCATCTTCTTCATCATCAAGATCATCTAGTCCATACTGATTTGGTTTTGGTGCTAAATTCATAAGTAAGTGTAATTCCTGTCGATAGATAGTAGACATTATGGAATTATCAGTAGGATATTCATCACTAACATCTTCGGAAGTAGCAGTAGTAGTGTCATTCACTGAATTATTAATATTAGTTTTAGCACAATACATAGATGGAGTGACTAATAGAACACAAGCTCCAAGTGTAGATAAATATCGAGCTATATTCAACGACAATACTGCACCTAAATGATTAGATCCATTTGATATGATTAGAATGCGAGCCGGAGGTCTATGAATAATCCTGTGAGAAAGGTGAGATAATAACAGAAAAACAGGGGAAACTTTTTTATAAAACTCGATTACAAAAATTAAACATTATTTTCTATAATACCATTAAATAATATGACTTATATGACCTTGTTCTTGTGTTAAACCAATGACACGTCAAAACAGCAAAAGCAACCTGGAGACAACTTGGAGTCTTTATTGGTTCTCCTCGCCTAGCTTTGCCCGTTGAGTCCAAAACACAAATCTCAGCGCCCACTGTATGAATAACGTAGTTCAGACATACGTAGTTTATATAAAAGCAAATCAGACCTAATCACACCATAAAATAGAAAGTAACGATTATACAAGATCAAGTCCAAAGTGGTTGTGAGTGTGAGAAGCTGTAACTAACAGATTGAGAATAACTCAAAAATAGTAAACCGTCTAATGATAGTTAATAGGTCAAATGAAAGCTTATGATAGCAAAAATGCGAATATACATATAATTTAGTTATTTAATAATTATCCAATAAAAGTATATGTAATAATAATTTCCAACAGTTATCAATCCTTTATTCTTCGTTCGGATATAACACCTTAGTTCTTGAAAATTAATGTAAAGTACATAATGGGACAGAATTTAATCTGTATCGAAATTCTCGTAATAATCTTAAGTTTTATTGTACTTTAAAATATAAGATTGATTTGTCATGTATGATATAAGAAAAGTTAGTACATGTAGTAGTAATTAATATAAGTGAAAGAGTGATTTTGTGATTGAAACATTTAACTCTCAACCATTGTATGACAGGTTTGAACACCGTTTCCCACTAACCAATCAGTTAGTATTAATAAATTTCATTAGAAATATGTATTTTGAAATGGAATGATTATTAATGTAAGGGTAGAAAAAAAGAAACACACAATTCTTACCTTTGAGGTGTTCTATTTAATTGACGTAAATGTATCATAATATTATCAATTAGAGGACGAGTAGCAGATTCAATAAATCGACCCCATGTAATACCTTGAAATTTATTACTTATTTGAGTATCTAAATTTAATCCTGTAGTTAAATAATTAAATAAACGTTGACGTTGTTCTAATGGAAATATTGGTACACGTTGTCCTGTACATGTATACCAGTATTGATTATTACGTTGTTTTATAGAATTTATATAATATTGTTTATTATTAACATTAACATTGAAATTATTTCCTTCTGAATGAACTGTTACTGCTGCTGCTAGTGGTGGTGATGATGGTGACGATGTAGCTACTACTGAACTAGTAGGATTATGTTGATTAATAGATTTATTATTGGAAGTAGTTATTTGTGTATTGTTTATTTTATGCTTATCTTCATAATGACTACCAGAGGATGTGATAGTCAGTGTTGTTCTAGTTGAAGCTGTCATAGTTGTTATTAAATTAGATGATTGAGTTGGAGTAGCTAAGAGAAAAGCAAACAGAGAAGCAGAGAGTAAAAAAAGAAAGTAAAAACAATGAATAGATAATGGTGAATACAAGCAACGTGACACTTATCTTTGATTAAGTTAGCTAAGTAATTTTTGCCAAATAAATAAACAGTGATTAAATTACAACGTAATAAAAATGAACATGAATAATAATTTTATAAAATAAATGACCAAATGGACTAATTTATATAATCATTAATGTATATGATTTATTTAACAAGTCACAGATTTATGTACTTGAGTAATTGTATAGAATTAAAGGGTGGAGGGCAAATGGGGAATAGAGTTTGAATCTGTGATTCAGTGACTGAAAATTTAATTTTTTTAAATTAATAAGCTATTATTCCATCGATCTATGATGCTCAAAATATGAGGTGTAGCCAAGGAATACTAACAGAATAATATATACATATTTAATAGTTGAAACCATGAGTCGATGTAAGCTAGACCACCATGGAAAACCTGGAAGCACTGGATGATCGTTTCGTCCAGCGTGTTCTAGTGAAAAGCCGCGACCAGTAAGTCTAACCGTGCCTGTTGTGAGGCAGTTACATACTGAAGACAATGGTGGACAGTCGTGCAATATCATGGATTGGTTGAGGTTGGACATTAATACCGTTGGATGCCAACTCGGTTGTCTAGAGGTTCAGTGTTCGCGCGTGAGACAAAAGATTACGGGTTCAAGTCCCAGGTACGAGACCGTGGATAAGCACTGCTGAGGAGTCCCATACTAGGAAGAAACAGCCTTCCAGTACTTCCAGGTTTTCTATGATGGTCTAGCTTAAATCGACCGATGAATTCAACTATTAGATTACTACGATCTCCACAAACCCCTATTCTGATAGAAATATTTTTCAAATCTTAAATATTTCATTGACTTATTCAACACCAAATGTTTGTGTTTATAAGATAACCACAAAACACATGAATCACTTACTGAATAGCGGAATTCCAACACCATCTGGGCCTTCAATGAAATGTGGTAGAGAAGAAGAAACGGAAGAATTATTCATGTCAGAAGTATTTGTTATTGAATGACCTTCGCGTGAATCAACCATTTCATAGAATGCACTCTTATTAAATAAAGCTAAGTTTCCTTCAAAATCAAAATCTTCATCGATAAATTCTTCAACACAGATCCGATCCCAATCTGCTAAATTTCTTTGACCGCCGCTACCACCTCCATTTAGTCCAGTGTTCCCTCCATTCCGATGATTGTGACTATTATTATTGTTATTATCACGTGGATGACCGCGATTTTGAGCATGACGATTAGTACTGCCACTGCCTCCACAGTTGAACTGACCTCTTGATCCTGAATTCGTATGACGATGGAACGAATCACTTTCGGCACCAGATATATCACTTGTCGCGCCAGTTGTTTCTGACGCTAGGTATAGATTTTTTTAAAGTGGGAAATTAGCCAATGATAATAAAATAATGGTATTTTACATAAGTACTGAGCTATATTTTGAATTATAATAGCAATAGTCCTTTAAATATTTGATAATTGTATAAACTGAGATATTTATTTGTAGTGCACATTATTTTTTGATAGCTATTTCATACTGTTTGATAGAATTATTGATTTTCTCCTAATAGCTCAGACGAAATTACTGTGACCGAGTTTCGTCTTAGTTTTGTGATTATAGACAAACAGTGATAGTAAGCTAATAATGGTTCCAGTGTTTTGAATTGAAGAATGATGCACGATACGAATACAACCGAAGACTAACATGTTTTTCTTAGCAACAACGTAGGACCCGGCACTAACATGTATACCATTACTAATGTACTACGCCATGTAAGCAGATCAAGACAACCTGGTCGGGATTAGCGTGATTTTCGTAATTAAAAGTTAGTGACTTTGGGTAACATGTCGGAATAGTTTGCAATGGCGCTAGTGCATTCACTGTGTCTTTCCTTAGACCTTGAATTTTCTATTTCACTGATTTACATTTTCTTGTCGAATAGTATCTTCGATGCCTAATCTTTTCTCATACTGATATTACTTTTAATACCCTGGGATTCGCTCCGACAATATCATATCGTACTAATGGAGTATGACTATTTGAACCAATGTATATATGGGCCAGGTTCTATGTTGCATGTGACTAACTGACTGATAATGTTACTCACTTGCGGAGCAGATGTATGGCTAAAGGCCTAGGAGCACAAATTGTTAGAAATTTAGTATCAATAATTGAAATGACTTGGAAAACTGTAAGCATTATTAGTTGACATAGCATGTGGAGTTTTTATCATGAACTGAAGTCATCTGGGAAACCACCGAAAACCAAGAAGTACTACTTAACAAATTTTTGTCTCATTTCGTGGTTTATTAGAAACCTGGAGATCGAACACATGACCAGTGAAGTTCAACCATAAAGAGTGAGAAAATTATCACCGATGACGTTAAATGACGGTCGCTCTGTATCCCCAACTGACTAGTGTGTGAAATCCAGATCGCTGGATTCCAACTCAATAACCTAAAGGCAATCTAGTAGTGAGGGTAGCACTGTTGAGGAGTCTCAAATTAAGATAGAATAGCTAACTAGTTCTCTTCAACGATCAGTGGTTTTCTAACTGATCTTATTTCGCTAAGAAAACTAAACTTTGCATTACTCAGATGACCACAGGACTCAATATTGGGGTGAATTCTTCAAAAGGTATCACATATTTGAAAAACTGCCAGTTTTGAAAAAGCAGAAGGTAATCAATCTCAAAAACCTGACTTACTTGAGTAACTGCGGCGTTTGGAATGACGGTGGTTATTAACACCATACTTACGAGCTGGACTTAAGTCATTTGGTTCGCGAATGGAAGCTTTCCCCAATGCATTGTCTAACAGTTGTAAATCGTTTGAGTGTCCAAAACCGTTATTAATATCATTAATGTTACTACCAGATCCTGGCGCACCAGCTGTCTTATGAATGATAGGCGGTGAGTCAGGACATACATAAACACTGCAAGCGTTGGGAATGTTTCTTAACCATTCTCGACGTTGTTCGCGTGAAGAATTAGAGGACTTATTTGGGCATTTAACCGGTGTATCACTACCTGAGGATTCACCGTCACTTGCAGTTGAAAGAATGCGAATATTTTGGATGAATCTACTCCTGTAAAACCGAAATAGACAATTGTTGACATCTGGTAATATGTACATTTGTATATTAAAAATATGAAACATAATGGAAACGGACGTTGAGAGTAGTATGTTATTTAAGAATATGAAGTATATGATCATATTAAAATGATAAGTATCAATTTTATGACTAGAGAAATGCATCTATTATGAAACGTATAGACATATCAAAGAAATTAGGGAGTAACTTAAACGTACGAGCTTGCTGACACCGTAAACCAACAACTAGTATTCTTTCAATGGTCACGTACAGGGATTTTGTCTTCACACGAGCACCAATGGGTGAGTTAGTGCTTACAAAAAACTGCTATCTGAAGTAGTGACTTAAAGTGGTGTTCGTCAAGGCTACTCACAATATTTGTTTTTGTCAGATCCTCCTAGAAATAACATACTTTGTTTACCCTTTAAGGAATTGAACTCCTTCCTGGAAACTCGCTAGTTGACCTGGGGCACACAGATGGTGAATATACTGACAAAATGCAGTCTATGGTGTTCCTGAACAAAGATGTTGCTTCAGAACTAGTCTAGGATGTGAATTTATGAAGTCAGTTTGGATTTGGTAACTTGTGATGTAGGCGAAACAACAGGCAGGTATACTATGTCGCAGTTTGCACTGTAACTCCGCCTGGAGCCCCTCTAAGGCTACTTCCAGTCCCAAGCCCGGATAAAGGGGGAGGGTCAGGTATGGGGTTAGCGTCCCCATCCCGTCGAAAACTAACTTGCTAAAAAAATGCTGACCAGAAAAAAATAATTTAAACCATTTAAACTCTACGCTGTGAGTTAGGTCTTCATTTAGAAAAGTTATGATGCCTCTTGGTGAAAGCCGAGTCCCTTCGGAAGTCGAGGCTGATGCCCCTTCTGACAACCAGGACAGCCATTAATTTAGGTACATGGAATGCTTGTACAATGTGGGGGACTGTGAGAGTCTTCCAAATTGCTGCAGAAATGAAGAGATACAACCTGTGGGTGCTTGGAATCAGTAAAACACATTGGACGCAGGTTGGACAAAAACGACTAGATTCAGTGGAACTTCTGTTATACTCCAGCCATGAAGAAAACGTCCCATATACACAAGGAGTTGGATTGATGCTATCAAAACAAACACAAAATGCACTTATACGATGGGAATCTCATGGAACAAAGATAATCAAAGCCTCCTTCAAAACAAAGAAATGGGGCATTACAATGAACGTCATCCAATGCTATGCGCCTACCAACGACTACAATGAAGACGCTAAAGATCAATTCTACAAAACGTTGCAGTAAGTCGTCGAGAAGTGCCCACCACAGGACTTGTACGATCTACCGTGAGCACTGGTGGGAAACGAAAGCAAAAGAGATGGAAAAGGCGGTGGCTATAGGGAACACAAGACAACTCTACAGACTAATAAAAGAAACTGGAATTAATAAGTCAAGTGTAAGTCAGACTATTTCGGAAAAAGACGACACACTCATCTGCTCTCAGTCCAGACGTTTAGAACGATGGGCGGAACATTTCAGAGAATAGTTCAGCTGGCCTTCAGCTACTCTACAACTACCCTCCATTCCCAGTGTGAATGGAACATTGAAGTAGGTCCCCCAACTCTAGCAGAAGTTCAAAAGGCTATAGTTAATCTGAAACGAGGAAGGGCAGCTGGTCCAGATGGATTGACTCCAGAGGTCTTCAAGGATGGTGGGCCAATTTTAGCGATTAGGTTGACTAATATTTTAGCTAAGATCTGGGAGTTAGACGTTATTCCATCTGACTGGTCACAATCACTTATCGTCCCAATATATAAGAGATGGTCAAATTCATCCTGTGACAACCATAGAGGGATTAGTCTAACTAATATAGTATCTAAAATACTAGCCTCGATAATTATCAGACGCCTAACTAAGACTCGTGAACTGCAAACACGAGAGAATCAAGCTGGCTTCAGACCTGATCGTGGCTGCATCGAACACATATTCACCATTCGTCAGGTTCTAGAACAAAGGCATACTTATCGGCGTCCGACAATGGTGGTCTTTCTTCACTTAAAAGCATCATTTAACTCGGTAGACCGCGGGGTTCTGTGTCAGTGTCTGTCATTGAAAGGCGTACCCCAGAAGTACATAAATCTTATGAAGGCTCTTTACTCGAACAGTACCAGTCGATTCAGAGCTTATGGCGAACTGTCATCTGCTTTTGCAATCTCAAGTGGTGTCCGTCAGGGCTGTCCACTTTCTCCATTTTTTGTTTAACTTCTTCATAGACCTATTGATGGAAATAACATTCTCGTCGACTGAATTCTCGGGTATTGATCTCCTTCCAGGAGGTCCACTTATCGACTTAGAATACGCAGATGGCATACTTCTGTTTGGTGAAGACGCTGATAAAATGCAGAGCCTTTTGGTAGCACTAAGCAACAATTCCAGAATGTTTGGAATGGGCTTCTCTCCCTCTAAATGCAAGTTGTCGCTTCAGGACTGGTCTGTGTCAACACCTGAACTAAGGATAGCGAGTGAAGTAGTCGAACGTGTTAAAAACTTCACTTATCTTGGAAGTTTGATCAGCCCTAATGACTTGGTGTCTGACGAAATCTCAGTAGGGATTCGAAAAGCTCGCTTGGCTTTTGCCAACTTACGTCACCTCTGGCGAAGGCGAGATATCCGTCTATCAATAAAAGGACGAGCATACTGTGCGGCAGTTTGTTCTGTTTTAATTTACGACAGCGAAACATGGCCATTAAGAGTAGAAGACACTCGTAAGCTACTAGTATTTGACCACAGATGCCTTAGAAATATTGCTGGCGTCTGTTGGAATCACCGGGTAAGTAATAGTGAGGTTAGACGCAGGGTATTAGGTAATGATGGTAAATCAGTTGATGAGGTTGTTAATCTTCATCGACTGAGATGGTTGGGGGACGTGTTACGTATGCCTGAACACCGATTACCACGTCGTGCAATGCTAACGGGTGTTAGAGATGGTTGGAAGAGAATTTAGAGCGGCCAAACCAAAACGTGGCATCAGTGCTTGAAGACACTAACTTCTAGTCTGAGCCATGTAGGTAGATGCAGACTACTTGGTTGGGGTCCGCGTGACTATCGTAACCAATGGTTGGAGACTCTTGGTGACATGACTGAGAACCGATCACAATGGCGCCGGTGTATACACTCTCTGTCTTTCCTTAAACTAAGAGATCAAAATTGCTTCCTATCTTTCTTTCTACAAACTAATTCTTTCTTCCTGTACTATATCCTTATTGCAATCTTTCTTTTATATATTACCACCTCTGAATTAGCTACTTTTATGAATCCAGTGTCCATCTTGTTGTGTTAATGAGGTATGGCAACTTGGACCGATGCATATATGTGCCTGGTTCTACGTTGTAGCTAACTGACTGACTGACTGACCAAAGGACTTGACCATTCTCATGAGAGACCTAAATGCCAAGGTCGGAATGGACAATACTGGATATGTAGACATCATGGGACGACATGGACTGGGAGAAAGGAGTGAAAATAGTGAGAGATTTGCAAACCTATGTGCCTTCAATGAACTGGTCATAGGCGGCACTATATTTCCACATAAACGCATATACAAAACCACATGGACTTCACCGCAGCACACTACGCAGAACCAAATCGACCATATCTGCATCAACTACTATAGAGAGTAACTGGAAAGGGGTAAAAGAGGCAATCACTTCAACATGTCATGAGATTCTGGGCCACAAAAAGCACCATTACAAGGAATGGATCACTGTTGATACACTGGATAATATTCAAGAAAGGAGGAACAAGAAGGCAGCAATCAATACCAGCCGAACAAGTGAAGAGGAAGCAAATGCACAGGCTGAGTACACAGAAGTAAACAAGCGAATGAAGAGGAGCATCAGAACCGACAAACGCAAATACGTGGAAGATCTAATGATGACGGTGGTGAAAACAATAGGAAACATGGGACAATTGTATGACACAACAAAGAAACTCTCTGGAAATTATCGTAAACCAGAACGACCAGTGAAAAGCAAGGAAGGCAAAGAGTAATCATCAACATTGGGGAACAGCGAAACAGATGAGTAGAACACTTCAAAGAGCTCTTGAATCGACCAACTCCACTGAACCCATCCAACATCGAAGCTACACCCACGGACCTCCCAATCAATGTTGGCCCATCAACAATTGAAGAGATCAGCATGGCCATCAGACAAATCAAGGGCGGCAAAGCATCGGGACCAGACAACATTCCAGCAGAGGCAATGGAAGCAGATGTAGCAGTAACTGCAAGGATACTCCACATTCTCTTCAGCAAGATTTGGGATGAAGAACAAGTACCAACAGACTGGAAAGAAGCACAAGATACCAAAGAAAGGCGATATCAGCAAGTGTGATAACTATAGAGACGCAAACACAGTATCTGTCGTTTAAAATGACAGTATGTTGCTCATTGAGTTATTGAGTTTCGATAGCCAATAACGCATTTAATAAGTATAAAATGTTTGATCGAAGAGTGTCTAATGTATAAAATCATGTGAATTAAGTAAGAAATAGTAAAATAAAATGACTACCAATTAAGTTCCTTATGTATTAATAATAATAATAATAATAAGTAATGGTAGTAGTAGATCAACTTCACTGACTACGAGAAAGCATTTGATAGCGTGGACAGGACAACACTATGGAAGTTTCTTCGATACTACGGCGTGCCTCAGAAGATAGTCAATATCATACGGAATTCCTATGATGGATCAAACTGCAAAATCGTGCATGAAGGACAATTGACAGTTTCGTTCGAGGTAAAGACCGGTGTCAGGCAAGGTTGCTTACTCCTGGTGATCGACTGGATCATAAAGATATCAACATATCGGGAGGAGCATGGGATACAGTGGACAGCTAGGATGTGGCTGGGTGATCTAGATTTTGCAGATGATCTGGCTCTTCTATCGCAAACGCAACAACAAATGCAAGAGAAGACGACCAGTGTAGCAGCAGTCTCAGCAGCACTAGATCACAACATACACAAAGGGAAAAGCAAGATTCTCCGATTCAACACAGCATGCAACAATCGAATCAGACTTGAAGGAGGAGATTTGGAAGATGTAAAAACCTTTACATATCTGGGCAACATCAGTGATGAACACGGTGGATCTAATGCAGATGTGAAGACGCGGATCGATAGAACAACAGGAGCATATTTACAACTGAAGAACATCTGGAACTCAAAACAACTGTCAACCAACACCAAAGTCAGGATTTACAATACAAATGTCTAGACAGTTCTACTGCATGAGGCTGAAACCTGGAGAACTACGAAAGCCATCATCCAGAATATACAAGTGTTTATTAACAGCTGTCTACGCAAAATAATTCGTATCCGTTGACCGGACACTATTAGCAACAACCTACTGTGGGAAAGAACAAACCAGATCCCAGTGGAGGAAGAAATGAGGAAGAAGCGCTGGAAGTGGATAGGACACAGATTGAGGAAAGCAACCAACTGCGTCACAAAGCAAACCCTCACCCGGAACGCTCAATGCCAAATGAGGAGAGGGATACCAAAGAACACATTACGCCGGGAAATGGAGACACATGAGAAAAATCAACAAAAATTAGATAGAACTAGAAAGGAAGACCCAGAACAGAGGGTGTTGGAGAATGCTGGTCGGTGACCTATGCTCCTCTGGGGGGTAACAGATGTAGGTAGGACTCTAATTTATGGACGAGCCAATCAGAAGCGTTTAAGGAATTTCAAGGTCATGGTGCTAAGTTCTGTGCGGGATGCTCACATTCGATCGTTTTACAGCAGATTTTAGAGAATAGGTGATAGTTGAGAGACTACAGCAAATGGGACTATTAGGAAGTTCCTGTGTCTGTGACTGCGGCAATTAAATGACCACAGCACGATGTGCAGACTGCCGCGATGACATTGTATTTCGTTGTACTATATGTTGTAGAAAAAAATCTGCTCGAACTGGCACTTTTTTACTCGGTCACGGCTAAGGCTAAGACAAACCATGATAATCGTTGCAAATTGGATCATAAAGTCCCCAGTAACATTAGCTGCGGCTATACCGATGTTTGGAAAGCGTATAGATGCCTCTCCAGACTCGGTTTTGTGCATCATGTAGTGGTGTATAAACGTCATTTCTTTGATCCAACGACGGGGGGTCCATACAAACAACATTGAGGGCATGTGGTCTAGGCTGAAGTATTTTTTAAAACCCTACCACGGCTCCAGAGGACGATTATTATAGAGTCATATGGACGAGTTCTTATACCGCATGCACTATGATTTCGAAACTTCTGAACCTATATCAAACCTCAACAAGTTCTCAAATAATGTAAAAGAAGAATATCCATTGTAATTCATCACTCTTTTATAATATATTTTTACTTTATACTAACTCTCTTCTGATTGGCTAATGTACTCAAGGTCACTTAAAAATTCGTTCAAAGGTCGTCCATAAATTAGAGTTTCACCCAGATGTACGTAAGTTTGTACTGTATTTATATACAGTTATGGAGTGGAGACGACATTACTGTAAACGTGAGGAGTGAATTAACAGCCTACAAATACCTTACATTTTAAGACCAGCTCCCTCAGACACGAGCTCTGACTCCAAGTTAACTATTATGTAAATGGAGTTACAATAATACGCAGGAAGACCGCTTTCAGATAACTACATCTGAAGTGTTTTAGGCGACCAGACTAGTTTATTGGTAGAAACGTTAAAAATTCCTATAGCAGTACCATAAACACGGGAGGCTCATGGTACGTTGGTGGGTAAAGCAAATACTAAGTTTAATATAAAAAACTAACATGTGCATAGAAAAGTATGAAATGAAACAATGGGAGAACTCACTCAACAGCAAACGAAGGGATAGTAGGAGGATAATTGTTGATCACTGCATTGGTAAGGCTGATCTTATTTTCGCTAACATTTGAGACAACACCAACAATTTTCCCAAGTTGAGATGACGTCAACTCAACCTTAAATCCAGTATACTGGCTAGTCATCGAGACACATTCAAATCAATATATTACCCCGCGTCTTGACTAGAGCTATTTAAACACTCGATTTTCGAATACCAGTAGCATTTAAATTGCTGTCAGATCTTAAATTGCTGATTTCCTTTTTTTGTACCATTATTCTCAACAAAAGTTTTATTTCATTTAATGTAGTCATAAAACTGGCTCATGAAGGTTATTTATGTAAAAGAACTGGTTGGAACCTATCCATTACGGTTGACAAATTATTGACAGGTGAGCGTTATCTTAGGTCTTCTAGCGGAAAGTATTTGTTGTTAGATAGTTTTCTCCACGATCTGGGAAATCAAAACACATAATAGCAGAAGAACCGGAGAGCTCATTCGAGTAAAATTTAGTTGATACTGTCTCAACGTATGTTCTGTTATATGTTAAAGAATCAACGAGATACTAGACTTATTTAACGTCATGGTTAGTTGGACCTAAAGTGGGCTACTCAGTCTCACTCTTAATTTTTTAGCACATTCCTAGAAGTATGTCTGTGCTAGCTAGATCAGCAGGACAATGTGGTGCATCAGCTTCTTTGTTATTACATGCTCACATGATTTATCCTAACTTTTGAAGACTTTAATAACTCAAGAAGCATGTGGTTAATGAACCGTTATTGCATTACCCAGACTGTTTTAGCTAATAGATTCTGTAGAAATACATGTCTTACTGAAGTAATCGAGGCACTAATACACACCTGAATGCAATGGCCATTCAAGAACTTTAAATCCTTGAACTAATAAATAAAGGTGCTAGAAAAAGAAGTGACAGGAGAAAATGAAATATATTTCAAGCTACCAAGGAAGCTAAGACTTCTCACGGAACCCTTGAATATACGTTTTGATTTTTCAGTAACGCAGGGTAGGTTATGAAGTAAATGTAAGGATGTTTACAGCATGTCTCGTTTTGAAAACATCTTTCGATCTAATCCTGGTAATTATAGTCCTGTTAGCCTGACCAGATTAGTTGCTAACATTTTAACGTAGCTTATTTTGGAAAGATTATTGAAGTGTAGCGTAGTGTCGAGTTGAGGTTAACTATGAACGCCGCTACCAAGGATCGCGTGCCAAGTGAATCAGAAGGCGAGGGTTGAACGTAACCAATGAAATCCATAAAATCCCCGAGAAGCCAAATATCAGAAGGCAATTAATGGGCCAAGTCGAGATATATTCGCTGGCGATCTCGTGGTATCGAAAGGATACCGAAATCGTGCCAGGATACAAGCTTGGTTGCAGAACGTAACCGAATTCGCGCGAAGTTACAATCAAAGTGTGTGTAAAAGAATGGAAGCAAAATATAGATGTCATTAGCACAGTCAAACAAAAGCACGTTAAAACAAACACTGGTACAGTTGGTTATAATAATAATTGTTTTTATTAAACCAGTCGTGTTCTCGTGATAAATGTGAGTCACCACAGAAGTATTTGATGTGAACGTTAATAGATTTTACGAATCACCATTGATTTGTAACGTACTATTCGGCTGAATAATATATCACACCTGTATTGGTAATACTTCAAAAGAAATAGTTTCGCAAGTCTTCGACATTGTGCCTGGCTCTACTAATTTTGATGAACACACTCCCAACTGGAGCTTTTCAGTTAACCACCTTTGCCGACCTAGTTTTGTCTCACGTTCGCTGCATATGGCTTACGATATCTAGTTAGCTTAGGTCACACATACTTCAAGAATTCAAATATAATGTCTTCTCACCCATCACTCTCGAGTTCTAGTTTGGTTCTCACTGTAGCTATTGTATAAAAATAAGTTTCGGGTGGTAGCATTGACAATCACTGGTCATCTCTATTACCTACATATCTATTTTTCCGTTGCTATGTAAAGACGAATTGTCTCCTTTTTTCGTCGACCTGTAGAATTACGGTCTACTACGATATTATTACTGCTCTAATAATAGACCTAATCCTAAATTTGTAGATTTGTCATGATATAACTGCCTAATCTATAAGATCTTACGTGGAAGTCACACCATCGACTACACCAACTCACTGTAGCGTATCAACTACCAATACATAATGTAGAACGAGGTTAGGCTAGAGAAAGAACAATATATTTAATATGAATGAGATATAGGATAACATCCAGCAGGGACCACGCCTGCATGGCCGAGCCATGCCACTCGATCAACCCCAGTCCATTCAATTCATTCTCCGCGCCCTCTCCATTGTTAGGTATTTCTCCGCGTTAAATATTGAATATCTATTTTCTGAGTAGTCTCGTGTTCACAGCTTTGTGGATTGTGTGGCTATTGTCCAATGCCACTACAGACCTACCAGTCAAATTAGCCGTATTTCTGAATGATCTTTCTTTTGATGACTGTGAGTACATGTGTTTAACATTCTAAGCATAAGATTGAACTGCATGACATGTACAGAGCTGGCTTGTAGCTCGAGAAAGTCGTGTTGTGTGATTTGTAGTAAATCATCCGTAATTTAATAGCAATATAAAAGTCTAAAAGTTATGGTTTCCATCATTTGTAAATGTTTAGTCGGGTTATGTACTAATAAGGGCTCTCGAAAGAGAATGTGTAGAATTATGGTCTACTATGATATTAGTACTGCTCTAATAATAGACCTAATCCTAAATTTGTAGATTTGTCATGATATAACCGCCTAATCTATAAGACCTTACGTGGAAGTCACATCATCGTCTTTACCAACTCACTGTATCGTAACAACTACCAATACATGATGAAGAACAAGCTTAGGCTAGAGAAGGAACAATATATTTAGTATGAATAAAAGATATAAGGTAATATTCCGCGGGGACCACGCCTGCATGGCCGAGCCATGCCATTCGATCAACTCCAATTCATTCAATACCTTGTTCGTGCCTTCTCTATCCTTAGGTGTTTCTCCGCGTTAAATATTGAATATCTATTTTCCGAGTAATCTCGTATTCAGCTTTGAGGATTGTGTGGTTATGGTCCAATGCCACTACACTACTCTCCTACCAGAATCAACGTGGTGTTGGTTCGATACCAAAATGGGATGGGATTGTCGCGCGCCGGAGGTTACCAAGAATAGGTAGAATCCTCTGGATATTGATAAGTTGAAAGATAAATCAAAAAGAAGGCGGCAGCATCTGGTCGGGAAATGCATGTAATAATCTTAAAATATCTGCTTTCATGATTAACACGCTTGAAATGAAAATTTGGGTGAAGATTTGAGCTATAAAAAATGGGATTACCATAATAATAAAACTATGTGTGTTAATAGCCGTTGGTTAATAACTTAAAGCATAGGTAGTAAGTATTTTGTGTTTAGAAATGTTAAAGTAATGAATATTGTAGAAATGCTAATACTGGTATTAGTTTTGGTTTAAATTATGAAATCAGTTCACAATTATGCCGGTAACCTGTCCATATGTGATTTTCAATTGCATCTGTATTAGTAGGCTAACTGAAGGAACAAAAGTCTTACCGTGCAGAAGAATTCCAACCAGTGTTCCAGTTATAGGTATCATCACCAAGGTTTCATTTGATAATTTCGAATAAATTGAGCTTTGGGTTGATTGTCATAAATAAAAATAATATATTTGTAATATCCCAATGAGTAGAAAATTAGATTTTCTGACGTTTTTGATTGATCAAATATTATTATTGCATTGTTCAGTTGTACTATTTAAACTTGGATTAATCTTAATTTGGTTATTTATTCTCTGAGGAAGTGACTTACACTAAGTCACGAAACGTCAGAAAATCTAATTTTCTACTCATTGGGATATTAGAAATATATTGTTTTTATTTATAGTGTTCTAGTTAGTTTGATACGGTTTATTTAGTTACGGAGAGATTTTCCCGACCTCATTTTTACTTGACCGTGATAGAATTTATTAATACTACTAATACACATGAATGGTTATTAAAACAAAATTTCAATACGTGAGTGATAATTATATGGATTTTGGACAGATAGCTAGGAAAAATCGTTAAACATGAGTGTGTTCGTAAGAGACACGCTCTAGACTCAATGTTCTGATCTGCGGCAGACTATTTATTTATTGCCGGCTGATTGGGCATACAAGTTAGTTGCAAGTATGCAGTTTATCATAAGGCGGAATACGATTTAATTGAGATATATTGGTTATAAGTTATTGAAATCAGTTAAGCCTATGTGTCATATCACTAAGTGATGTGGTGCTGCAAGATGTATTTGGCTAAATAAGTTTTTACAAGATGATTAACAGTGAGTGATGCTCATTTGATATTGAATATCCATTTTCCGAGTATTCTCGTATTCAGCTTTGAGGATTTTGTGGTTATGGTCCAATGCCACTACAAAAATATTATATGGTACATTGAAGAAACTGCGGGGTAAGATTCCACAGCTTGAATTAACGAAGTTATTTGCTTATAATGTGAATCGCAACTCAAACCGAAGGTCAAACATGATCGCGGGCATTTATTGATTGCCATATGATAAATTGTTGCTTATGTTCAAACTCTATGATAAGTCATAACATTTGGTAGTCAAAGTTAGTTGCCCAATGGATTTGTTTCGTGTTTTCTAAGTGGTCCCCCTAAGTGAAACTATGAAGAAGGATGTATAGTAGGCTTCTCTCTTATAAAATCGATGTGTTGCTATATTATGGATTTTGGAGGGAATTTAGGAATTAAAATTGCTTAGTATGGTTGGTCTTTAATTTTTCAATAAGAATTTCTTTTTTATTATTGATTGTGGCTTTCGATATATATATGTTTAATAAGTGTTCCTGATAATTATAAACATGCACATATTATTTGTGTGTCTATCAACTTACTGATCTTGTTCAATGTCCGTTTTCCTGCTCATAGTATTCATTGATTGTTTGGAGATCCACTAATGCTTCCACCAGATAATATTTTGGACCAGAAGGCTGTGCCTTCTCCTTTTCGCGTCTCTTATCATCCGTCTAAATAAAAGGATGAATATAATGCCTGTTTCCGAAATACTCTCGTATTTGACTCATTTCGTTCTGCGATTTACTAACCTGCTCAAGTCGACTGATGCAGAACTAATGGCTG